GGGCGTAGGGTTGGCAGCGCCTAATATACCATGGCGTGAGCGCGGCACTCATAGGGGTGCTACAGCCGACTCTCCAGATACTGCGAAGGCAAAAAACCCCGACGACTTTGCACACCTAAAATGGAACTGACATGAGCAAGCACTTGAAGAACAAGTTCAATGGCTATTAGCCAGGATGGGCAGGGACGGTGTCCCTAGCCTCTGATTGCCAGAAGCTGGGAATGGGCGATGGGGGGGAGGGACAGCTCAGTGGTTTGAGCATTGGCCTGCTAAACCCAAGATTGAGAGTTCAATCCTTGAGGGGGCCATATAGGGATCTGGGGCAAAAATCTATCTGGGGATTGGTCCTGCTTTGAGCAGGGGGTTGGACTAGATGACCTCCTGAGGTCCCTTCCAACCCTGATAATCTATGATTACCTGTTCTGTTCATTCCTTCTGGGGCACCTGGCATTGGCCACTGTCGGAAGACAGGATACTGGGCTAGATGGACCTTTGGTCTGACCCAGTATGGCTGTTCTTATGTTCTAATTTTTCCCCTTTGTTTTAAGAGATGACAGAGGAGAAGTCTACATCAACATTTGGTATAACTGATGCACTCTATCTGGGGGCCTAGTGCAAGTTAATTGCTCATGTAAATAACTAATTTTCTCATTAAACCTCTTTTGTTGTGTCCACCTTTAAGTTCTCCTGCCCACCTGTCTAATAAGCTCAATCTTGTGTTTAGAAACTGTGTTGGTCAGCAAAATTGAATTTTCTTAACAGAGTGGAAAACAGAGTGTAGTTGGTTGAACAATTACAAAATCCGGGATGTAGCTGGCAGTATGATGAACATAGGGATGCTGGCATAGACCTTCTGTGCAAATGCCATCGTTGATTTCTCTTTTTCCCTTCCTCTACTGAAACATATAGACATTGTTCCCACCCATTCACAGCTTTTGCAACTATAAGTAACGCTTGGTACCTCATTTAATGTAGATTTAACAAGGAAGTTAATGTATGTCAAATAATTTACTGAGGCTCAACAGATATGTATCGTTATATCCCTGTTAATCCTCAGGAAATGTATGTTCTTACTAATAAAACTAGTGCTCTCTCGCTCCTTTACTTTAGATTTAATAAGTAGCAAAATGAAGTATTTTAACCCACATAGCTACACTTGTTCCTAATCCCAGGGTCTATTTTACCATCTTGGGTGGGGTTTTCACACCATGCACCCTTGGCCAAAGACACCAACAGTGATGACACTGCTATGCCTAGCACTCGCCAGAGGATTCTGGGAAGGGATAACTGAGATGATTCTTGTGAATACACCCCACGCTGAGCTCATGTTACATAATAGGAGATCTTCAGTTTTATTTCCACCTCTCAGCCCCCTGCTTCAGAAGCAGAGTCGAGCTGCTTGGACTGGAGACAGAGTGTAAACGCCGGCATTTAAAAGGGTTTTGGAAAGGACAATTATCCAAATAACTGATTCCTGCGAGCTGCTAGGTCCCCAGTCAGGGGAAGGCTGTGTGCGCATTCTGGTGAAGTGTAGCACTCACACACCATGTTATAAATCTTAACTAATTGTCACAACAGCCTTGTAAGTGCATCTCTGGACTGTAATGACTTAGCAGGACTTTCTCTACAATTGTTCCTCCTGGCTGCTGTGGGTTGTCCTGGTGCCTGGTAACAGAACCGAAAGCAAGAAGACTCTCTTTCCTGACAGGGACAGGAGCTTTTGGGGGAGAGAGAGAAGAGGAGCCTGAGTGGGAGGGGAGACAGAGGCAGGGAGGGAGAAGGGCAGATAAAGACGACCATTAGAATTTACATTGCTACAGTCCCCCCTGGTCCTGAAGCTCAGCATTCTTTTGCCATCTAGCAAATAGCTATCAAACTCATTGGTAAGACTACGTTTTAGTTACAGGTATTTTTAGTAAAAATCAAGAACAGGTCACGGGCAGTAAACAAAAATTCACAGCCCATGACTTTCACTAAAAATACCAGTGAATAAAACTTGGGTGGTGGTGGTGCGGCAATGTGCTGGTGCTGTGTGTGTGTGTGTGTGTGTGTGTGGGGGGGGGGGGGGGGGATATTTTCCCTGTTCCGTGGCCAAACATAATTTTATATACTTTTTGGAATAGGGATTTATGCCACAGGTCCAAATGTTCAAATCTGGGCATCAAAAATCTCACTCATGATATACAATACTCATAATGCCCCTGTTTGGCCTATTTGAGCCACTAAATGCACAATTTGGGCCCTCAAATGTACCCTAAATAGCAACCAATCTACTGAAACCTATAGAGAAATGGAAAAACATTTTTTATTTACTGAAGTCTTACGTAAGTGCAAAATGTTTGTATTACAGTGAATGAACTATAAAGCATTTATACCTGCTGTGCATAACACAGAGCCCTAATTAACAGGAATAGACTTTAATACCTTGAACATATGCTAGCACTTGCAGCCCTTTCAAGATCAAAATTTACATATGACCAATGTAATTGTATTATTATTAAACATTTACATTGCTGTAGCTCTCAAAGGCCCAGGTCAGGAAAGGTGCGGAGTTGTGCCAGGCACTATCACAGAATCATAGAATATCAGGGTTGGAAGGGACCTCAGGAGGTCATCTAGTCCAACCTCCTGCTCAAAGCAGGACCAATTCCCAACTAAATCATCCCAGCCAGGGCTTTGTCAAGCCTGACCTTAAAAACCTCTAAAGAAGGAGATTCCACCACCTCCCTAGGTAACCCATTCCAGTGCTTCACGACCCCCCTAGTGAAAAAGTTTTGCCTAATATCCAACCTAAGCCTCCCCCACTGCAACTTGAGACCATTACTCCTTGTTCTGTCATCTGGTACCACTGAGAACAGTCTAGATCCATCCTCTTTGGAACCCCCTTTCAGGTAGTTGAAAGCAGCTATCAAATCTGCCCTCATTCTTCTCTTCTGGAGACTAAATAATCCCAGTTCCCTCAGCCTCTCCTCATAAGTCATGTGCTCCAGCCCCCTAATCATTTTTGTTGCCCTCTGCTGGACTCTTTCCAATTTTTCCACATCCTTCTTGTAGTGTGGGGCCCAAAACTGGACACAGTACTCCAGATGAGGCCTCACCAATGTTGAATAGAGGGAAATGATCACGTCCCTCGATCAGCTGGCAATGCTCCTACTTATACAGCCCGAAATGCCGTTAGCCTTCTTGGCAACAAGGGCACACTGTCGACTCATATCCAGCTTCTCGTCCACTGTAACCCCTAGGTCCTTTTCTGCAGAACCGCTGCCTAGCCACTCGGTCCCTAGTCTGTAGTAGTGCATAGGATTCTTCTGTCCTAAGTGCAGGACTCTGTCCTTGTTGAACCTCATCAGATTTCTTTTGGCCCAATCCTCTAATTTGTCTAGGTCGCTCTGTATTCTGTCCCCATCCTCCAGCATATCTACCACTCCTCCCAGTTAAGTGTCATCTGCAAACTTGCTGAGGGTGCAATCCACGCCATCCTCCAGATCATTAATGAAGATATTGAACAAAACCGGACCCAGGACTGACGCTTGCGGCATTCCGCTTGATAGCGGCTGCCAACTAGACATGGAGCTATTGATCACTACCCGTTGAGCCCGATGATCTAGCCAGCTTTCTATCCACCTTATAGTCCATTCATCCAGCCCATACTTCTTTAACTTGCTGGCAAGAATACTGTGGGAGACCATATCAAAAGCTTTGCTAAAGTCAAGGAATAACACATCCACCGCTTTCCCCTCATCCACAGAGCCAGTTATCTCATCATAGAAGGCAATTAGGTTAATCAGGCATGACTTGCCCTTGGTGAATCCATGCTGACTGTTCCTGATCACTTTCCTCTCCTCTAAGTGCTTCAAAATTGATTCCTTGAGGACCTGCTCCATGATTTTTCCAGGGACTGAGGTAAGGCTGACTGGCCTGTAGCTCCCCGGATCCTCCTCCTTCCCTTTTTTAAAGATGGGCACTACATTAGCCTTTTTCCACTCATCCGGGACCTCCCTTGATCACCATGAGTTTTCAAAGATAATGGCCAATGGCTCTGCAATCACATCTGCCAACTCCTTTAGCACCTTTGGATGCAGCGCATCTGGCCCCATGGACTTGTGCTTGTCCAGCTTTTCTAAATAGTCCTGAACCACTTCTTTCTCCACTGACTGCTGGTTACCTCCTCCCCATACTGTGCTGCTCAGTGCAGTAGTCTGGGAGCTAACCTTGTTTGTGAAGACAGAGGCAAAAAAAGCATTAAGTACATTAGCTTTTTCCACATCCTCTGTCACTAGGTTGCCTCCCCCATTCAGTAAGGGGCCCACTCTTTCCTTGACCTTCTTCTTGTTGCTATCATACCTGTAGAAACCCTTCTTGTTACTCTTAGCATCCTTTGCTAGCTGCAACTCCAAGTGTGATTTGGCCTTCCTGATTTCACTCCTTTATGCCCGAACAATATTTTTATACTCTTCCCTGGTCATTTGTCCAATCTTCCACTTCTTATAAGTGTTTAAGATCCACTTCTTTTTTGTGTTTAAGATCAGCAAGGATTTCACTGTTAAGCCAAGCTGGTCGCCTGCCATATTTACTATTCTTTCTACACATTGGGATGGTTTGTTCCTGCAACCTCAATAAGGATTCTTTAAAATACCGTCAGCTCTCCTGGACTCCTATACAAACAGACAGGCCAAGACGGTCCCTTCCCTGAAGAGCTTGCAATCCTTCCAGTACTTCTGGTTTTGACAACAATCTCTTAATGGGGAGATATAAGGGGTCTCATATCACTGAAGTCAGTCAGTGGAATTATATTGCTACAGTACAGAAGACACACCAAAATTAGGCCTAAGGTGTGTTCATTGGTTTGAGGAGAGTCATGCTGCTCAGACATGGGTGCCATCAAATGTTGGCTAAGATGTATACTACATTAATATAATAATACCTACAAATATTCCTCTTAAGCACTCCTGCTAACGGATTGGTTGGGGACAAGGGAGGAGAGAGAGATAGTTACTTACTTCTTGTGCAGTCAGGGCATGTTCCCCTGCTAAAAGCAGCATACTCAGGCCTCCCATCTGCGTAGGATCTGTTCAAGAGTAAAACAGATATTAAGGTGATTCATCTGCAAGCTGAAAGAACTTACTGTGTGCATTGAAAAACCTCAAAAGGCTACTTGTCACAGATACTCCAAAGCAAGATGCCACAAAGCCAGCCCAAGAGAATCACAAATAACCATTTCTACATACTCTCTGGGATAGACATTCAAAGCTGTTTGAGGGATTTGATTGGATGTGTGTGCTTAACTCCCCTTGGTGTGGCATTACAATTTTACCGCCACAGGTTCCAAGCACTACAGTGATGGATATCTTTAAAACAGCAAGTGTGATGATCTCATACCAAACATACACAGAACAGCGCTAATATCACAAATATTTACAATGGAACTGGAAGCTCAGAATGGGGGGGTAACCCTCCCACAGCTACAGAACAAGGAAAGAGGAGGGACCGCATCAGAGATGAAGCTTCCTTTTAACAAAAGGGAAGCATGTTTGCTTTTTACTTATTTTTAAACTAGAGCTGAATTTAGTGTTCAAGCATGCCAGGCTGACAGCGCTGAAGAACGTAGCCCTCTATTTATCCACGGCACCAGTACAGCACAGGCATTTAGTTGGGCAACCTGCCCACATGTCACCCAGCCAATACAATATTAGGTAGAGTTAAAGTAATCTTAGCAAATAAATAATGTCTGGTGTTGACATCGCAATGAACAGTGACACCGTGTACTCACAATACTAGCATTTTTTACTATTATTACTAATGATTGACATTAGAGTAGTGCCGACAGGCTTCACTGAAAATCAAGGCCCTGTTATGCAAGGTGCTGTACAAACACATAGTAAGACAATTTGTGGCCTAAAGAACTCACAAGACAGACCAAGTGGGAGAGAGAGAAAACAATTATCCTCATTTTTCAGATGAGGTACGTCTACACTCTACACTAAGCCCGGGCTCTGATTCAGGTTTGAGCCCAAGCCCCCCCGATTCAGGTTTGAGCCCAAGCCCCCCTTCCATTCACACACAAATCAAAATCAGCCTGACTCAGGTCAGCAAGCACTCAGGACCTGGGTCCTAGGACCGTGCTAGTGGGATGGGCCAGAGCCCGAGTTCTGCTATGTATTAGGTTTAAGCCCTGACATTCTGCAGTGTGGACAGAGGTCAAGTTACAGACCCAAGTCAGAAGGTCTGCATAGTGCAGTATGGACGCATTAGCATGGCTGTGAGTCCTGGGTCTAGCAATTTTAATCCCAGATCTACAATGCAGCATGGATGCTGAAGCAATGGCTTGAAAACACCGAGTCCACAAGCCCAGGCCCCACAGACCTTGGGCTACAATGCACTGTAGACATACCCTGAGGCATGGAGAGATTAAGTTACTTTCCCAAGATCACACAAGCTGTCTGTGGCAGAGCTGGGAATCGAGCCCACATCTCCTAAGTTCCCATCCATTGTCTTAATCACACAACCATTTTTCCTCTCTAAACTTTAACGGCTACATTCACAGGGTTAAGTATTTTTATACTGCTTTTACAGATGAGCAAACAGAGGCTCAGAGAAGCTAAGCAATTTGCCCCAGGTCACCCACTGAGTTGGCAGGTGAAGAGGGACAAGCTGACTCTCAATGACTGAAGAACACTGCCTGATGCCAGAGTGACTCACTCTAGGCACCACATTGGTGCAGAATTAATTTTCTGCCTTACCACAATGAGCACCGCGAGGAGCCTTTTTCCAGTTTCCCATTTCATTTCTCATGGGGGAAAAAAAATAAAGCTTAATGAGGCCAAATATGGGTTTAAAGTCTTATGAGTAGTGAGAAGAAAGATAAAATAATCCTCAAAGAGGAAATACATTGGCTTGGTGCAGGGTTTGTAAGAAGCAGTGAACGGAAAAAACTCTGGAGGCAGAAGGGAGGGAAGGGAGGGAAGGGGAAATCAGTCACATGACAGAAGTATTGTCTTGTCAGGCCAAGCTATCCAGTTCTAAAAGCCCGCCTCACCAGAAGAGTAATCCAATTGCAATAACAGGCAGCAGTTCTTGTCCTTCCTGTCGGGGAACACCAAAGCAAAGGAATGGGGCAATTCAGCGGGTGGAGGGGGAACGGCATCCTTCAAATACAGAATGACGATGTGTGTGATAGCCTGGTCCAAACCCTTTCCCCATTTCCAAGCATTTTCTTTTCCAAAAGAAGGTCTTGTTTGTCTTCCCTTTAAATGAGCACCTTCTTAATTATAGGGTAAGATTAAGGGTTTCATTTTAAAGTGTTACTGTAGTTGCAACAGACACTAAAACCATGTATTTAAAAATCAAAATCAAAAGGAGAAAAAATGACAGCTTTGTGGAAAGTGAAAGTTTAATTTGGTGCTTAAGCAACTAAAGAATAGTCGGGCTGCAGCTGAAGCAGAGAGCTGGAGGTTGGATAGCTGCTCTTGATGAGGACAAAAATGCTGCTATCAAGGTTTCAGATTGCAAAATAAAATAACAAAAGGGAAAAATAAGATTTGTGTGATAACACACTGCATTATGTTTATACCCTCTTGTGCTTAAGTGTTACTTAAGGCTCTAAGAACAAACTAAGAAAGATAAATAGTTTAAAATGGTAAATGCTATTTTAAAATTATTTACAGGTATTCAACAATAAAGAAGAGATCTCTCTCTCTCATTATCGGCTTATTCAGAAAAGAATATTAAATGTTAATAGTATAATGGAAGTTGATTTGTGACCTTAACTACAGCTTTCTTTCTTGCTAAAGCTAACAACATGAGTATCACTTTGTTTGAAAATGATGGATTTTATTACTACTGGATTATAAAAAGACAGAACACTGCAAGAAATGTCCATGCAAGAGAGACACTGTACAGAATGTCTGCCTACTGAATGCATTTAAGCTTTGCCTTATGCCCTATAAGTAGGGCCCTACCAAATTCACGGCCATGAAAAAACATGTCACGGACTGTAAAATCTGGTCTTTTATGTGCTTTTACCTTATACTATATAGATTTAATGGGGGAGACCAGCCTTTCCCAAACTGGGGGCCCTGACCCAAAGGAGAGTTGCAGGGGGTTATAAGGTTATTTTGGGGGGGGGTGTCAGGGTATTGCCACCCTTACTTCTGCACTGCCTTCAGAGCTGGGCGGCCGGAGAGTGGCCGCTGCTGACTGAGGGCCAAGCTCCGCAGGCATCAGCGCAGAAGTTAGGGTGGCAATACCATACCATGCCATTCATACTTCTGTGCTGCTGCTGGCAGGGGCTCTGCCTTCAGAGCTGGGATCCCAGCCAGCAGCCGCCGCTCTCCAGCTGCCCAGCTCTGAAGGCAGTGCCACTGCCAGCAGCAGCGCAGAAATAAGGGTAGCAATACCACAACCCCCCCTACAATAACCTTGTCGTCCCCCCCAACTCCTAAATAGCTGAAATCATGAAATTTATGATTTTCCAGTTGGTATAGCAACACTGAGGCCTTTCATGATTCAGTGATGTGAACTTCTCCATTGTGAACACGTAGTACTTTCATAGACTACTTTTGTACCGGTGGAACATCTGCTTTTCACTAGTGGGGTGCAACTGTGACGAGGCAGGAGCAGAAACCCTACCAACTTAATCTGTGACCCACAGACTGAAGTACACTGTTCCTAGACAACATAGAAACATTGTGCTCTTTACAAAAGGAGGGTAGTCTGGTGACTAAGGCACTGGCCTGGAACTCAGCACATCTGGGAGCATTAATGCACTATTCAGATTCCCCCCTCCCCCAGTCATCCAACTGTGTTGTTTTGGATATATTTACTTCATTCATTTCTACTAAACAAATGAGGAGGTTACTCACCCTGTGCAGTAACTGACGTTCTTTGAGATGAGTGTCTCTGAGGGTACTCCACTCCAGGTGTCGGTGCGTCCCTACGCCTTCACTCGGAGATTTTTACAGCAGTACTCGTACCAGTCGTGCACGCGCAGAGCCTGCCCCCTCCCCGCTCTGAGTGTACCGTAATAGTACGCATGCGCGACCGGTCTCCTCAGTTCCTTCTCTACAACGGAGGCTACCCCAACTCTGAAGTAGAGGGGAGGAGGGTGAGTAGTGGAGCACCCACAGGGACACTCATCTTGAAGAACGTCAGACACTGCACAGGGCGAGTAACCTTCTCTTCTTCTTCGAGAGATGTCCCTGTGGGTGCTTCAGTGTACCTCAAGGAGGTAGGGACTTCGGATTTGGTAGGAATGCAGTAGATAATACTGCTCTGCCTAATCGTGTATCAGAGAGAGGGCCTTGAGTAAGGGCATAATGCTTAACAAATGTATGTTTAGAAATCCAAGTGGCCACTTTACAGATGTCAGCCAGAGGAACTTTGCGTAGAAAAGCCACGGAGGTAGCCACAGATCTAGTGGAGTGAGTTCTGATGCCGGCTGGAGGCGTAACTTTCTTTATCTGATAGCACAGTTGGATACACTCAGAAATCCAGTTTGAAAGTCTCTGGGTAGACATAGGTGTCCCTATGGAGCGCTCCGCAATGGAGACAAAGAATCTAGAAGAGTTCCTAATGGGCTTGGTTCTATCCAAATAGAAGGACAAAGCCTTGTGTACATCTAATGTATGCATTGTGGATTCAAAAGAGTTTGCATGTGGTTTAGGAAAGAAGGTTGGTAGGTGTATCGGCTTATTGATGTGGAATGACGAATGCACCTTTGGAAGAAATTTGGGGTGTAGTCAGAGGGTAACTTTGTACTTAAAAAATAGTGTATAAGATGGGTCTGCCATGAGAGCTGCTATTTCTCCTGCACGTCTGACGGAGGTGATTGCCACTTAGGGCTTGGCTACACTGGCACTTTATACCGCAATAAAGCCTCCCAGAGCGCTCTACCTTACTCCCCATCCACACTGGCAAGGCATGTAGAGAGCTCTGACTCCCTGGCTAGAGCACTCCTGGTACTCCACCTCCACGAGAGGGATAACGGCTGTTGCGTATTGGCTGAGATGCCCCAGGGCCACTGTGAACGAGGAGTTACGTTACAGCGCTCTGACTGACCTCCGGAAACAT